TTAGCAAGAGATGGCCAGTATTTACCTGCCTTACCAAGAATGGTCAGTAGTTATCTGCCTTACCAAGAGATGGTCAGTAGTTACCTACCTTCCCAAAGAGATGGTCAGTAATTATCTGCCTTACCACGAGATGGTCAGTATTTTACCTGCCTTACAAGAGATGGCCAGTAGTTACCTGCCTTACCAAGAGATGGTCAGTAGTTATCTACCTTACCAAGAGATGGTCAGTAGTTACCTGCCTTGCCAAAGAGATGGCCAGTAGTTACCTCCCCTACCAAGAGATGGCAGTAGTTACCTGCTTACAAGAGATGGCCAGTAGTTACCTGCCTTACCAAGAGATGGTCAGTAGTTACCTGCCTTACCAAGAGATGGCCAGTAGTTACCTGCCTTACCAAGAGATGGTCAGTAGTTACCTGCCTTACCAAGAGATGGTCAGTAGTTACCTGCCTTACCAAGAGATGGCCAGTAGTTACCTGCCTTACCAAGAGATGGTCAGTAGTTATCTGCCTTACCAAGAGATGGTCAGTAGTTACCTGCCTTGCCAAGAGATGGCCAGTAGTTACCTGCCTTACCAAGAGATGGCCAGTAGTTACCTGCCTTACCAAGAGATGGTCAGTAGTTATCTGCCTTACCAAGAGATGGTCAGTAGTTACCTGCCTTACCAAGAGACGGTCAGTAGTTATCTGTCTTACAACGAGATGGTCAGTAGTTACCTGCCTTACCAAGAGATGGCCAGTAGTTACCTGCCTTACCAAGAGATGGTCAGTAGTTATCTGCCTTACCAAGAGATGGTCAGTAGTTACCTGCCTTGCCAAGAGATGGCCAATAGTTACCTGCCTTACCAAGAGATGGTCAGTGTTACCTGCCTTAAACCAAGAGATGGCCAGTAGTTACCTGCCTTACCAAGAGATGGCCAGTAGTTACCTGCCTTACCAAGAGATGGCCAGTAGTTACCTGCCTTACCAAGAGATGGCCAGTAGTTACCTGCCTTACCAAGAGATGGCCAGTAGTTACCTGCCTTACCAAGAGATGGTCAGTAGTTACCTGCCTTACCAAGAGATGGCCAGTAGTTACATGCCTTACCAAGAGATGGTCAGTAGTTACCTGCCTTACCCAGAGATGGCCAGTAGTTTCCTGCCTTACCAAGAGATGGCCACTAGTTACCTGCCTTACCAAGAGATGGTCAGTAGTTACCTGCCTTACCAAGAGATGGCCAGTAGTTACCTGCCTTACCAAGAGATGGTCAGTAGTTACCTGCCTTACCAAGAGATGGCCAGTAGTTACCTGCCTTACCAAGAGATGGTCAGTAGTTACCTGTCTTACCAAGAGATGGCAGTAGTTACCTGCCTTACCAAGAGATGGTCATTTAGTTACTGCCTTACCAAGAGATGGCCAGTAATTACCTGCCTTACCAAGAGATGGTCAGTAGTTACCTGCCTTACCAAGAGATGGTCAGTAGTTACCTGCCTTACCAAGAGATGGCCAGTATTTACCTGCCTTACCAAGAGATGGTCAGTAGTTATCTGCCTTACCAAGAGATGGTCAGTAGTTACCTGTCTTACCAAGAGATGGCCAGTAGTTACCTGCCTTACCAAGAGATGGTCAGTAGTTACCTGCCTTACCAAGAGATGGCCAGTAATTACCTGCCTTACCAAGAGATGGTCAGTAGTTACCTGCCTTACCAAGAGATGGTCAGTAGTTACCTGCCTTACCAAGAGATGGCCAGTAGTTACCTGCCTTACCAAGAGATGGTCAGTAGTTACCTGCCTTACCAAGAGATGGCCAGTAGTTACATGCCTTACCAAGAGATGGTCAGTAGTTACCTGCCTTACCAAGAGATGGCCAGTAGTTTCCTGCCTTACCAAGAGATGGCCAGTAGTTACCTGCCTTACCAAGAGATGGTCAGTAGTTACCTGCCTTACCAAGAGATGGCCAGTAGTTGCCTGCCTTAACAAGAGATGGTCAGTAGTTACCTGCCTTACCAAGAGATGGCCAGTAGTTACCTGCCTTACCAAGAGATGGCCAGTAGTTACCTGCCTTACCAAGAGATGGCCAGTAGTTACCTGCCTTACCAAGAGATGGTCAGTAGTTACCTGCCTTACCAAGAGATGGCCAGTAGTTACCTGCCTTACCAAGAGATGGTCAGTAGTTACCTGCCTTACCAAGAGATGGCCAGTAGTTACCTGCCTTACCAAGAGATGGCCATTAGTTACCTGCCTTACCAAGAGATGGCCAGTAGTTACCTGCCTGACCAAGAGATTGCCAGTAGTTACCTGCCTTACCAAGAGATGGCCAGTAGTTACCTGCCTTACCAAGAGATGGCCAGTAGTTACTTGTGTAACCTGCACCATCGACACACCAACAATAACATTAATTAAATTCCGGTTGTGTTGATGATGTCTTAGTGAAATGTCGAAAGTAGTTGAAAGGTATCATATTTTTTTTTCGTAATTACTACTGCTACTACCACTACTGTATTTACTACTACTACCACTATGATTACTACTACTGCTGCCACTACTGCTCTTTCCATTGCTACTAACTGCTACTACCACTATTTTTATTACTATTGCTACTAAATGCTATTACTACTAACTACTACTACTACCCCTACTACTATTACCACTACTAGCTATTGCTACTACTACTATTACTACAAATGCGACAATTAGGAGCTGTACTACATCATCTACTTCTACTGCTACTGCAATGTTGTATATTTTAATGGATTTTAATATACAGTAATGTCATTATGTTATTCCTTAGTAATGAAATGTTACGTTATTCCTTCACTTCCTCACTGCCTATAAAGACAAAGAAGATTTATCAGGTATTTAAATATAAGAGCAATAATAATTTACGAGGTCTATAATGTATTAGTCGTTGCCGTTAAAACTAATAAGGTTTGACCTGAGAGTTAGGTGGATTACAGTGTTATTAGGAAAAACTGGAACCTCATCCCCTACACTTGCGACACCTGATGAGGGAGTGGTTTAGGTGGAGTGGCGAGTAATTGGTGGGTGACCATTTTTGGACAATCTCGGCACTTACCTGCGAGCTTGACCAACTTCTAGGTAGCTGTATGACGACATCATCACGTCAGGTTAGTCTTTGAACTTAAGTTCAGTAACCTCAAGATGGTCGGTGTGCTAGAGAATCTAGATCAGTCTCCATAACCAACCTCTGATGGTCACATTATAATCTCAGGAAGGTGGACACGTACATCCACCAGCCTGTCCTCCAGCCCCCAGGAGTAGTGGCGGCTTTTTGCTCATCTTAGCGTCTGACCTCAAATTGCTACTTCCAGATCTGCTCTTGGTTGCGTTCCACTCTGGATGGGTTGGTAGTGGTCGGGGATAGTATGGTAGGGACAGATGGTGGCGAGGTAGAGTTGTGAGTAACTGGGGAGGTTAACTATTTCGGGACAGGAGACTCCTGCAGTGGGCGGTCAGGAGGTGAGGATGGACGTTTTAGGCGGACAGGTGGGAAGACCTCGTTGATTCTTGTTGTTCTGGTATATTGACTAAACACTTTAATCATATTTTGATTTTAATATTATTATTATCAAATTTACACTATCAACACTAAGTTTTTACTGGCGTGACCAGTTTACTCTTATTAAATAAGTCAGGAACAGAACACAAAACTTTACAAAATCCTTGTTCAAGATCCTCCGTTCGTGTCCATGAAAAGTTGTATGTCATCAGCCAGGAGAGTGACCAAATTTAGACGAAAGGGGAAATACCCCACCATTAATGCCGAAATAAATGTGTTCTTAATGAGGCAAGCACCTTCCAGGAAGAGTGGCACCCTTCTCCCAGGAAGAGCCCACCTGCCGCTAGGTACAAACCACAAGCTCCACGAGAGCACTTAAGGTGACCCAGAGTCACGGGATTGATCCCGTTGTGATTGACTGCTTTGGAGATTACATACGGGAACACCGAATTTATAAGATAAAGACTACGCCAGAGAAAGCTCAGTAATATGCTGAACAGGCACAGTATACTCACATTATACTCACTGTCAGCCATTAATTAAGGAAAGTGTGCCTCAAGACATCGTTGCAAATTCTTTATACGTATTTTATAATCGTAAATACACACATTCTTTATACATATTTTCTAACTGCAAACACGCATATTCTTTATACATATTTTCTAACTGTAAACACGCATATTCTTTATACATATTTTCTAACTGTAAACACGCATATTCTTTATACATATTTTCTAACTGTAAACACGCATATTCTTTATACATATTTTCTAACTGTAAACACGCATATTCTTTATACATATTTTCTAACTGTAAACACGCACACGAGCGGTAAGGAGAAAATACAACAGTCATTGTATATCATACATAAAACTCATAGTATCAAAAGTGGGTAGAGGTTTTAAGTAAAAATATGACTAGGCCTACTGTTTAGATTTTTTTATAATATTGTAGTGATATAGATTTTTACATCAGGATGCACCGTATAAGAGCTTTTGATATCTTGTCATCTTTTTCACTTTGAGAACATTTGCAGACACTACGTAAAATATAATTGATATTATATTAACACTAATATTTTTTTTTTTTGGTAATATTAAAGTACTGCTTAAACAGAATTTAAAAAAAATTACGCAAAATATAATGACTTTTTTGGGGGGGGATATTTAATGAAAAAAAAATAGATTAAAAATATATATGTAACACCTATATTAAAAGTTTTGAATGTTTATCAGTATATGTATATTTTTACACATTCAGCAGCGCTGTATAGCCCTTGTGGCTTAGCGATTCTTTTGTATTATAATAATAATTTACACATTCAACATATTTCGGACTCAAATTTGAAATAGGCAGAAGCTTAAAAAAATATAAATAACGATTCTGTTCATCATCTGTGAAGCAAACATTTATATATACACAAGAATTCTTGTTAATTTCTCATGTCTTCAACAAACAAACACACACACACACACACACACACACACACACACACACATCTTTACATTAGTTTGAGTCCTAGGCTCGTAAAAGAAAGTGAGCGTGCTCATGCAGTTCCAACAACCAACTACCTGTTAGAATAGCATCCGTGTGCTGATAAGAGGTTTGTATCTGTCATTAGAGTCTACCACTGCGAAGATATGAATTCCATGGTCAAATCTCTGTTGTCTTCCTGAGCGAGAATATGAACTGCTTGTTAGAGCTTCAAGTGACTCAGCGCTTCCAGGAGAAATATTTGAACTGCATAGTGGAATAAATTAATGACTCAGCTCTACTCTGACCGAGCATGTTAACTGCATGTAGGATCCTTCAATATCCCACGTCTTCCACGGTGTGGCTATAAACTTTGTGGTGGTAGATAACAGTGACTCAGTCTTCCAGAGTGAAGACGTGAGCTGCGTGGTAGGATGTCTCAGTGGCTCAGGACCAGTAAGACTCTTGACGACATCACGACTACGACGATTATGACGCTGGACACTCCTGCTGGACATCCTGGAATAGGGAATGAAAAGTTGCTATTTCCCTTTGAGCACATCCAATAAAATACATTACATATCTTGCCTAACAAAACACTCACAATGTCCAACCTACCACCCATCTCGTCCAGTCCATTTCGGTACCTCATCCAACTCACCACTCACCTCGTCTAACCCACCTTCTCACAACCCACCTTGACTAGCCCGCCACCTGTATCATCCAGCCCACTACCTATATGCAAAAGATATCTAGTTGAATAATATTAATAGTCTTATGAGGCTAGTGCTAGGTTTATTAGGTATATATGGTACACAAGAGTTGGTTGGTGTTAGTCCACGCCAGGCCGAGGGCCTAGCGAGAGAAAAAATTGAGGGTCCGTCCTGGACCTAATGTGTCTGTGGAGGTAGTGAGGACGAAACAGCGTCTTGTTAGCTCAGCTCTATGTAGAACTAGACCTACTAGATGGCAGCACCAGGCCTAGGGCGGAATGGAGGGAAGTACTAAGCCTGACAGTGATTACACGCCTTTTTTCGTGCAGCCTACCACCTACCAATTCAAACACACAAGCCATCTTCTACAACCCATATGCACACATATTCGAGTTCTCAGTTTCCACGATCACCCCAACTAGCTCCACTTACACATAGTCTATCCCTCTCACATGGCCAGTCCAACGTATGAAGCTCACATCACCCAATCCAACCCACCTTTTTACATTGTCCAGCCTGCCCCCTTGAAACCGTTCTCCCGTATTTCATCCAGCCTACCCTTACTTCGTCCATCCACCCCCACTCCAAACATCGTTCTGCCCACCATCCACCTCATCCAGCCCACCATCCTCCAGCCTTCCACACATCTTGTCCAGCCCACCCTACTTCATCCGGTCCATTCACATACGGCCATCCTACTACCCACCACGTCCATCGTATTACACACCACGATCATCCTATTACCAGTCACGTTCATCCTACCCACCACCTTCATGCCACCACCTAGCACATTCATGCCACCACTCACCTTGGCCGGCGGCAGCTCGGCCTTCCATGATGGACGCATGGAATGGAACGTTGACAGAGACTAATGCCTCTGTGCTCTTAGAGTAGAGGTTGAAGATTGAAGCTGTGCAGTTGACGGAGACGCTGTCACCGCGCAGTAGTCTGGGTCCTAGAGGGAAGCGCAGACCAAGGATCGCAGTTTCCAGACCCGTCTCTGGATCTTCCAGGGGCGGGTAGGGTATAAGCCAGCTCGGGTCCGCCTAGGCAAAAAAGGAGTTGGAGTAGTGAGAGAGTGGAAGGGTAAACAGGGTAAACAGAGGATAAAAATGGGAGCAAGAGAGCATAATTGTTTCATCAATTAAGTCTCAAGAAAGCGAAGAGGACTGATGAACCATTCCAGGGAACAAAATTCAAATAATTAACTTGCTGTAATGTGAGGTAACGTAATGTATCTTTATAAGCAAAGAGTTTTGTATAATATCTTAAGATGGTGTATTTCTACCTAGTTGCGATTTTTCTCAAACTATGATGAGAGTGAATCCCTTATGAGCGTCATGTGTAACTTAATGTGTCACTATTACTGAAAGTCAAGAGAGAGAGAGAGAGAGAGAGAGAGAGAATAATTTATTTTGCAATAACCTTCACCACATTTCTGAATTCTGTTTATAATCGTACGTGTGTAAAACCAATACGTGATAATGTGTTTTAATTGCAAAAGAAATGGTGTAAATGTCATTAAAATCAATAATATGATTTGCAAATAAAAAAAAAATATTAAGAATAACTAGTTATACAAATATTACGATGCAATCCATGAAGACGAAACACTTCAGAAGTATTGCTAGAAATTAAAAATTTACTGTGATTTTCAGGAATAATTATGATTTACTAACAGAAGTCAATTAAAGAAACAGATAAGCTAAATAGCTTTATATTGATATATATGAATATCAGTTGTAGACTGTTGCAACCCTTGAATGGGTTACAATGTATATGATGTATATGTATATAATGTATATTATCTTTTCATATAATTTTAGATTGCTTTTATTTGCGATAATAGCTAAATCGTAAATATATGACTTTATATTATTATTTGTCTTAGTTACTTTTGTTAGGTAGGATGTAACATATTATTATGTGCTCATAGTTCAAGTCTTGATTGTCTAACTACTGTAATTATCGCTGGTGGCTCGTTATTTTGCCGGCTTCTCGTTGTTGCTGGGCAGCAACTGTCCACGGAGCTCTCACGTGATAGAGGGGGGGTGTTCTCACCTCACCTGAAGTATTCAGTCTGGTCTAGACTCGCTTGGTAGTTGGACGTATTCTAGGCAAGACGAGCCTAAATTTCCCTTATTGGCCCTTGTTGGAAGATCGTCTCTTTCTTATTATTGTTGTTAGCTCTGGAGACTCTGTTCACCGAACATTGTATAGACTTAGTGATTTTCGACATTGTACTGAGGTTGTGTGTCGCATAGACACTCTAAGCAACTCAGGTCCTGAGCTGTAGCTTCTGACCTAATTTGCACTGGTATCTGTGTACTGTCACAGTCGGGGATTTTCTTATGCTGAACTTAGATTCAGTAGTAAGTTTTGTGACTTTTGTGGAGGATCTGCTGATGGTCCCTACTAGCTGTCTTTATATTATCTCATTGTTCCTGATTGTGTCGTAGTTGCTTGTTATATTGCTATTGGGCTTAGCATTATTTTTATTGTTCAAGCAGACTGTTCTGATTGCCAGTTGATCAAGAAGTTAGTTTATGAGAGGACTTTGTCAGTCACTTGTTTAAGTCTAGTCGAGTCGTGAGAAATAGTGAATTACTTAGAGCACTTTCACACATACACACAAACTTATTTGTATATTGTATTATTAAATGTTCATGTACCAGACGATACTTAAGACATAAATGTGATATGTGCTATCAGCACAATAATACTGTACACGAGAGGAGTGATTATTCTTATTTTGTTGATATTGATTTAATTTAATTTGATATACGCCTAGACAACTTAACTATTAATAAATGTATTAAATTTTAATTTCTCTAGTTAGTAGCCTACCAGTTGTAATCCCGAAGCACTAATAACTCTTATTGAATTCTAATGGATAATTGGACAAGGATACTGACTACTTGTTACGAAAACCCAGTAACAGGCTGGATGCTAGAAGGGCAGTCCTTTCTAGTATTCACTGGAGATCTCTAAGCTTTTAGAATCGCGTTTTTTTGTAACATAGACGTAAGAGTTGCAAAATTAATTTACTGGAGGAAACTTTTGCTTTGTTGAATAAGACAAATGCCACACCTGGTTAGCTCTATTGAAAGACGTTTCGCCCATTGCGGGATTTATTAATTTAGTACAGAGGCATAAATATAAGGCCTTTTACACAAGAGTCTGTGAAAGAAGTAGAGATGCAACCGTTGAAGACATATAAGTATGGATAATAATAATAATAATTATTATTATTATTATTATTATTTCTACAAGTACATGAACAAGGTATACTGACCATAGTATTCCGGGCAAAGTAGGTCAGTTTTGTCACAGGATGCGAACCACACCAGTCGATTAACACCCAGGTACCCATTTACTGATGGGTGAACATGGATAACCGGTGAAAGAAAACACGCCCAATGGTTTTTACCCTTGCAGGGAATCTAATCTGGACCCTCAGCGTGTGGAACGAGAGCCTTTTCCACCAGGCCACGGGCCACTAGTTACAGTTAGCTAGGACCTATAAGGTGTTTGAGTGGTAGAGGATATTCTCAGTCATAGTGATAAAATCTGATACTCAGGTGAAACCTATGAATTATTGTAATGGGGAAGCGCTAAACTAGTAGGATTATACAGCACCTGTTGAGGGAATGGAAATATTGAAGCTTAATTCAGGGAGCTGGAGCACAGATCTAATTCCCTGGATCAAGAGCCCCTCACCATCGTCAAGGAACCTCCCTTGAAGGGATGTCTGTAAGATACCCAGGCGCTGCACATCAGTCTTATTCATCAACTTGTTGGTATTACATCTTTTTTCTAATATTTTGTGACATACCAACACCATGGATTCTTAATAATATCTTTAGTTTCATTGATAAATCAATGAAGCAATTTATGGGCACAGCCTACTTCCATTAGTATCCTCGCCCATATTTGGCCACTCGTTCAACTGCTGCATCTCTCGAAACATCTGAATAAGGACACCCAGCTACTGCTCAGGTGTCTCGTCCATCATCTTGCTAGTATTGTACATTTGTTCTAATGATATATTTTTTACCCTGAAGTGAATTCAGAACAGTTAATCCTAAATGTCTTTCAGCTGTTCATTCATAATTTATTTTTTTAATCGGCATGAAGCCATTAGCTTTGTCTACAATATTCAGTAACATTATTTGGGGATATATTTATTTATTCATGAACACAAAAATGGAGTTTTGAAAGTTAGGTATTTTCTCTCATAAGCAAACAATTCGCATCACTCAAATAACACTCACATTTTTTTATTTTACTCTAGCTGAACAATTGCAACAGATATGTTCGTTAAGGAATTGATAAGATCAGTGAGAACAATTAAAACATATAGTAGTATTAATAATTAATAAAACCATTGTAGCCTCTGTGCAGCATTTGAGCTGCGTCCTTAAGCTGCGAGTTTACGTTGTTTGCGCACTACTGGTTACGTCCTTAAGCTGCGAGTTTACGTTGTTTGCGCACTACTGGTTACGTCCTTAAGCTGCGAGTTTACATTGTTTGCGCACTACTGGTTACGTCCTTAAGCTGCGAGTTTACGTTGTTTGCGCACTACTGGTTACGTCCTTAAGCTGCGAGTTTACGTTGTTTGCGCACTACTGGTTACGTCCTTAAGCTGCGAGTTTACGTTGTTTGCGCACTACTGGTTACGTCCTTAAGCTGCGAGTTTACGTTGTTTGCGCACTACTGGTTACGTCCTTAAGCTGCGAGTTTACGTTGTTTGCGCACTACTGGTTACGTCCTTAAGCTGCGAGTTTACATTGTTTGCGCACTACTGGTTACGTCCTTAAGCTGCGAGTTTACGTTGTTTGCGCACTACTGGTTACGTCCTTAAGCTGCGAGTTTACGTTGTTTGCGCACTACTGGTTACGTCCTTAAGCTGCGAGTTTACATTGTTTGCGCACTACTGGTTACGTCCTTAAGCTGCGAGTTTACGTTGTTTGCGCACTACTGGTTACGTCCTTAAGCTGCGAGTTTACATTGTTTGCGCACTACTGGTTACGTCCTTAAGCTGCGAGTTTACGTTGTTTGCGCACTACTGGTTACAGTTGTTTATAAGTTGAGTGTATTGCTACAGGGTTGCGCATTATATAGTGCTGGCTTGTCTTACCACTTGTGCGTAAAAACAAATGGTGAACAAACATTTTCCCAGTGTATTGCTACCTAAGAGAAAGGACTCCGTAAATACATTGTATATATTGCTTTTTCATATAATTTTACATCGCTGACGTTTTTATTAATAGCTACAATTAAAATTTTACATTGTATATTATGAGTTACATGCAGGCCCTGCTGATCTCTCTCTCTCTCTCTCTCTCTCTCTCTCTCTCTCTCTGTCTCTCTCTCTCTCTCTCTCTATCTGGTCTTAGTGGTGGAAATACCTCCATGTCTACTCTGTCTATTATTATTTACACTGTTTTTGGTAATGTTTCCGATGGTGTGCTGGGACATTGCATCTCATAAAAGTGCTACTTAATTCACAGATATATGAATCACATATCTTGTATCGAGTTCAACTCTCAAACTTCATTTGTTCTGGCATCTACTCACAGTCGTAGTCGGGAGACTGGAACTGCTGAACTTGGTTTCAGTAATAAGGGAGTTTAGTCTTTTCGGGAGAATCTGCTGAATCTCTCCAGTTAAGGTCGGTGTGTTCTCCCTGATTCCTTCCCTGATGCTGTTGTGTTCTCTAGTGCTTCCACCCCTCACAGGAGGTTCCTTGTCGCTGGTGAGGGGGCTCTTGATCTAGGTAATTGGTTCTGTGATACAGTTCCCTGAATTAAGCTTGAATATCTTCCATCCTCCTCCCATGCGCTGTATAATCCTACGGGTTTAGCTCTCCCCCATGATTATAATAATCTGGTGCTTCCAGCATTATTACTGTTTGGTGACTGAGTCGCCATATGGTTCAAACAAGTTGTTTAACTCTAAGTCATACTGAGCATTTACACACACACACGCACACACACACACACACCACACACACACACACACACACACACACACACACACACAC